CACGAGGGTTAGATGAAAAGTCACGACGGTCAGCATAAGGATAATGTGGGTCAATTGGGTCAGCTTAACGGTCACGAAGGTCAGATTAAGTCACAAGGGTCAGGTTAAGGGTCAAATGGGTCAGATTAAGGGTCATGAGGGTTAGATTAAAAGTCACAAGGGTCAGAATAAGGATGATGTGGGTCATATGGGGGTTGGCGAACGGAACGAGCAGGGAACGTAGCCCTTTAGTAACAACATATTATCTTCAATAAATCAGTAGCGAAGTGATAAAACGGTTTAAGTCGACTTATCTCCCAGTTGAGTTTCTGAGGCATATGTCCAAATCTAAGGGAGATAGCAGAATTTTCGTAATAACATTTGTTATAGCTCTCAATCGGCTCTGCAAAAAAGGTTATAATAAACTTGTTGCTATCTCCCTTAGATTTCGAGATAATCATTGAAAACTGGTCAATAGTTAAAATTAACTTGTACCACATTCCCACTTCGCTACTGAAATGTATTACCGTTTAATTTTTACAAAGTCAACCCTCTACAGAGTCACTGGAGCCCTCTTTACCCCTGCGCATTTTCTCTTGGTCGTTAGAGTTATGGTTTTGCCACAAGGAAGGCAACGCCAGACGTACGCAACGCTTGTAATTCTCACAAATAACCAAAAAATATTTGAACGATTGTTTCACACGTTGTGTACGTTTCGCGGTGTAGTCAATATGCAATACCCCCTTCCCGCGGTCACTAGGAGATCGATGGAATTTTATCATTGGATTTTATGTTTTTGGGGATGTGGAATCCGAATATGTTGTTCATTTTGTTCTCCCATCGCGCAATCATTTGTTATAAACAAATTAGTCCCCATTGTTAGTGAATAAATGTTCTTTGGGGAAAACAAAGAGAGATACAGAAAAATTGTTCCAACAAAAGTTCCTCCTCTTTCTTTCACCAATAAAATTATTTTTGACTCGTCGAAATCGGTTTAATACTTCCTGAGATACAGACTAAAGAGTGAGCGCGGGTGGATAGACTGCACGGACGACGGGTGAGTATGGGCGCGGAGCAGAGTATCTGAGTGAATATCGTTGGTTTGTACATTCTGTATTGCATTAGATTACTGCAGAAAGGAATAATATCTGCAATCTGTCGATTATTTCTATTTTCTCTCATACTCTTCATGTCGGGTAAGGGACAAAACGCGTTCCATGCTTCGAGAGGACAATGTAAAAATGTCGCCAGCAACTTATAATGATAATGTATAATTCCTGTTATCGGATGAATAGAAGACCCCTTCATATTGAAGATGAAGATATCTGAAAAGAGAAAAAACCATAGATCGAAACATGGTAAAGGAAGGCACTGAACACGATTTACACATTGTTGAACATCATATGTTTATAAAATTTAGTCAGCGCAGTGCAGTATGCAAACACAAACGATATTCGTTTAGATACACTGCTCCGCGCCCATACTCACCCGTCGTCGTCCGCGCAGTCTATCCACCCACGCTCACTCTTTAGCCTGTATCTCGGGAAGTATTGGATCGATTTCGACGAGTCAAAAATCATTTTATTGGTGAAATAAAGAGCAATAATTTTTGTTGAAATAATTTTTCTGTATCTCTCTTTCTTTTCCCAGAAGAACATTTATTCACTAAAAATGGGGACTAATTTGTTTATAACAAATGATTGCGCGACGGGAAGACAAAATAAATAACATATTCGGATTCCTCACCCCCAAAAACATAAAATCCAATGATAAAATTCTATCGACCTCTTAGTGACCACGGGGGTATTGCGTATGGACTAGTGCGTCCATTGTGGCATCACCCTAATTCTTATATAAATGCAGCCCCCATGTTTATGCAACACATTTTCTTCAGAAGTTTGTGAGTAGTATTGGTTCAACAGAATCCGCAATTCTGAAGATCTCAGTTTTATTTGAAGATCTCAGCAAGAAAATCCATGTCAATTGTCGTTTATTCTTTTGCACTCGCGCTACTTGAATCGATCGAGAAATCAATATCATTCAGTTTTCGATCTGGAGTATGGACTCTGTGCGTGAAAAAAAAACCATTCGATTTTTTGTAAATAAGATTGACGGAAAAGGAGCTGTAATGCTTTTTACGCGGAGAAATAAATCACACGAATAATTACTGTACAAACTAAGTAATCGGTGAGCGAAATTGTATTTTATGAATTTTCATTTAAAATGAAGGGAAAACTCAAGAGTTTTAGTTTCACAAAGGGGAAAATGGGGCGTAACGTATACATTTTTCCCTTTCAAAATTTTCTCCTTTGTCTGGCATTTTTCCCAACTCGTTCTATGAATCGTACACATAATATGCCATTAAAAAATTTATTTTTATATGGTTTATTAACTTTAATAACGAATTTAAAGTTGAGCACTCAAATATATGCCGCCGGGACCGATGTACATCACAGCAGGGCAGTCACAATAATTCGCCAACGTGAGAGAGAAACGATGCGCGTCGCCTCTGATGACGGATTCCACTGGGAGAGTGAGTCCGAGACATGGTAACTTGTCTTCTGTGACGTCACAGCCCGCATAAGGCCTCCAAAACGTGCACTTTTCTATCAACGATTTCTCATTGAAAAATGCAACTTGGAGGGTCATAAAAATTAAATTTGAGATTGTTACAACGTCTAGATTCAGATTAGAAATAAAAGTAAATGCGTATGTTCCCTGCTATTGATGGAATATGCCACACATCTTTCATCCAAAATTTTCTTGGCTTGTGAATAAAATTAAATTCATCGGGGGTCCATTTTACCGTACTCTCGAATAAATTTTCCGTGTTCATTTTGCCAAGACGTAATTTTGGACAATTTTATTATTGAAAAAAAAATTTTATTTTTATTTTTTAGAACATCCGTTTTACTCCACCCCCTTACGAATTTATCTTGCCCAAGAATCATGTTCGGAAATCTGAATTTAAGAAAAACAAACATTTTTCTGAAAAATATTTTGACTGTCCACTTGTCCCACTCATTTATGGAGTCAGGTGTCCATTTTGCTCCGAAACACTTCAAAAATGTGAATTTTGAAAAAAAAAAAACTTGTTTTTTGGAAAAAATTTTGAGTGGTCATTTTACTCCACTCATATGAATTTATCAGGTATTCATTTTACCCCAGATGTACAACCAAATTGCCCCACCATCCCCTATACCTTTCGATACTCTTTCCCTTTGCTCTTTTTTTTTGTTATGATTTCTGTAGTCTCCTAACAGGTGAATTAACTATTTCAAAGCGAATCCCAAGAGCCTGTGCACAGTAATGAATTTGTTTATTTCATTTTGTCCCATCGGTTATAATCAATTTTTGTTTTAATCAACAAATAACTTGGTTTCTCATGTCGTATTCTATTTACGTATTTATTGAGTCTTTCAATTTATTATTCAGCACCACATTTTGGAAGTCCATTCAGAGAACCAAATTTCCAAGCTCAAAGTGAATTTTCATTTCCCATCAAATATTACATTGTTCTGTTTATACGTTCAACTACTGATGATTCTGAGCGTTCAGCTACTTAGATCTAAAAGTGTTATATCGGATATTCGGTGATGTTGTTAGCGGCGTTTTAGGTAGTACTTGCTGTCTTTTTGTTCAAATATTGCCGTAAATAATATAGTCCAATGATAAAATTCAATTGATCTAAAAGTTCATCATATGACGAGGCATTTATGACGGCTTTCAAAATTCACCTGACCGTCACAATTTGTCAAATAAATAGGACAATTATTTTTTATCTATATAGAAGCAACTTTATTTTTTCTGTATGAATTTTTATTTGAATTAATTTCGTGCTAGCCTAATGTGTCTTTTGAAACGAAAATCACGCTTATTTTTCATCTCTACAGATGAAAAATTTTTTTTTGCGCTGTGAAAAAAATTTATTTTTGCTAAATATCCATTTACTTGAGAGAAGTATTAATTTTTTCAATACCGTATTTTTGCAGTCGAGTGATTCCCAGGCAATTCTCATTAAGTCCCAACTATGTTGCTTTCCCAATTATGTATGCTTTCAAGTACATGAATATTTGACAAAAATATATATTTCTTTTAGTGTATGTATGACCGTCACAAATTTGAAATTAGTAATGACCGTCATTATGCACATACATAGAAATTTTGACAACAATTTGCTTCCACATTATTTGTGACCATCATTTTTACTTAGAAAATTTGCGCGTCACATAACTGACACTTTTTGGTCATATGACGCAGTCTAAAAATAACGGTCATTTTGCATCTCTACACTCACACGGAGAGAAAAATTTAATGAAAATTACCAGAAAAAGAAACGTAAAAATTACGCCCCAAAATGTAATCCGCGAGCGAAGTAAAATTCAATAAAAAGTGTGAGTCGGAACTGAAATTGTACGAATCGCCACGTAAATTCAACGATGGGTTCCGTAAAATTAACCACCCGTCTGATGGCTCACCGCTGATGTGGGGACAAGTCGTTCCATAATTTTTCCCCAACGATTGAGAAATTTTACGAAACGGCACCTAGAAATAACTCACCAGTTTGATAAAAATTGTTCAATGTTCAAGAATTTTTGATTTTGGAGGCAATATAAGTCGGGAAGTTTCTGTAAGATTTTACTTGTTCGGAAAAAATTACGTGACAATTTCGTACTTTGTTCGGTGATGAACCTGAGAATTCACTGAACGTTTCAGATTTCTTCTCTCCATTTTTATAAAAATTGCCGGAAAAAGATTCCCCATTGCGGATTACGTGAATTGTTCTGTAATTTTTACTGAATATTTCTCTCCATGCAACGCAACTGCATTGTTGACGCTCAACAATCCCCACGTTCTACATTGCCGTTGGAGTAAACGATGCCGGTCGAATACAACCGAGGGAGCCACAGAACATTTCGCATCTCTACCCATAATTCTCTGCGTTCCAACACATACCCACCCCAACCAATCACAAGACACCAATTCTTTTATTCATGGCTATATCACCGTCGTCTCTCCCTTTCCGTTTCTCTTGGTGGATAGACGCCGAAGTGTGCACATCAATTCTTCCAACATTGTGGGAGTCGCGTGCATCCTCTGAATTTGATAAACTACTGTGAACACTGTGATAGTCTCATTGGCCGCGTGGGCCTCGAGTTTATTAATTTTCCGCTAAAAAAACGTTGAAATGGCCACCGAGAACACAAATAAACCCGACTCTAAACCGCCGCAGGAGAACAATGATGAAAATAACATGAGACCCGGAGGCGGAGGACAAGGCGGCGGTGGTGGCGGCGGCGGCGGCAGCGGAGGAGGCGGTGGTGGCGGTGGAGGCCGAGGTGGAGGTGGCCGTGGACGGAAAAATTCACGATTTTCTGGTGGTCGCGGCGGTGGACAAGGAGGCGGTGGTGGAGGGCCACGAAATGATATGCAGGTAATGATAAACTTTTTCATCTAGAATGTTCTCATTTTCCATGGAACTAAGCGTCTCCTCTCCGCCATTTTGAAATCCGTCCTGCTCCGATTATTCCAGGGTTTTGTTAAAAAATTTCATAAATCGGGTAGTCCATTTATTTTCATTCTTATTTTCACAATTCTTCGATAAAAATTTATTGCTTGTAAGGATGAAATTGATATTATGCACTTCAGTGAGTTCAAAGCCCTCGACTCGACATGCGGTATTGAACGCTCAAAATGGCCGACTTTTACTCGGTGACGATCTCTGTTGGAACGGACCTCTTCGTTTTGAGAGTCCCGACGTTTTCAAATGTTTTTTGTTCACTTCGGGGATTTTTATGAATTTTTAGAAATTTAAATTGTTTCATGTACGAAGAAAATTCTGGGATTTTTTACACTGATGGGGGAATATATGAGACTAATATTTCCGATAATTAAGAATACTTATCCAAAACTGCAAGCACTAAAAGAAAATTTCTTTCACCCTCAGGGAAAACTATTTTTTAATTTTTATATAGGTTTAATTCACCAACTCAAAAAAAAAAAATCTTTTCCTTCAGTAGTAAATGAAAATATATTGATCCATTCGACGCCATTTCAAGCCAGTAAGCGGGACTAGATATCGAGATAATAAATACGGAAAATGCAGCGCCGAGCCTCGAAAAAGCACGGGATGAGGGGAGACCGCGATGAAATTTTAGAATTGTTTTTTTCTGAAATTATTTTTTATGCATGAAACTACTTCATTGACTTAACGCAATGATCGAGTAGATAAAGTAGTTTCATAGATAAAAATTAATAATTACAGGAGAAAAGACAATTCTAGAATTTGGTATAGACAAAGGGGGGAGGTCTGTCTCCCATCAAGAGGAGACTACTGTGAGTTTTACAAGTCGCGGGCTATTCGAGTAAGATTTCTCATGCATTGGAGATTATATATTAAAAATTAATTGTCTATTGTTCGTTTGCGCCGCAGACGTTCAAAATGTTGAAAATAGTCCAGGGCCTCCAATTTTTGAGCTACAGAGATATTTTCAAAATTTTTGAAGAAAATGTGTACAATAAAAATTACGAATTAGTTTTTTCAAATTCAACTCCTACACAGCTAATTTCGGTATTTTTTAAATAAAAAATTGCAACATTCACGTAAAATAGCCCGAAAAATGTTTCTGAAAACATCGAGAATATGTTTTAAATATTTTAAGGATAGTTTTTCTGCCTACTTTACATGAACGGCGCCAATTTTTATATCACCCAAACCAAATTAGCTGTGTAGGAGTCGAATTTCAAAAAACTAATTTCAAAAACCCTCTGTAGCTCAAAAATTGGAGGCCCTGAACTATGTTCAACATTTTAAGCGTCTGAGGGGCAAACGAACAATAAACAATTAATTTTTTTTCCACCAATTATTCCTGTTTAGACATATACAATCCATCCTTAATGCATAAGAAATCTCACTCCAATAGCCCGCGACTTTAAAAAGTCGTAGTCATAGTAGTTCCCCCTTAAAAAGTAATAAAAATTTCAGACCGGACCAGTTTTGATCCGGACATCCACGAAAAACGTCATCTTTCACGTTTTTAGCTTAAAAATACTCCTTGCTCCAAAGTTTTCTTCGATTTTAAATTTCTTCAAAATGTTCATTATACTCCAACGAACAAACCCAAACATCTGTTTTGCTTTATGCGTATTAGATCATGAGAAAGTGCTTTTTTAGTTTTTGATTTTGTTTCTTTTTCTTAGCAAATCATAGAATTCGTATTTTTTGTTATTCCACGTTGTAATCATACGTAATCGGAATCTCATGACAAAAACCTATGGGCTGTTACAAAATTTTAGAATTTGCGAAGAAGAAAAAAAAATAAAAAACTAAAAGAATCATTTTCTCACGATCCAATACATATAAAGTAAAACGGGTATTTGGGTTTGTTCGTTGGACTATAACGATCATTTTGGAAAAAAAAAGTTAAAATCGGATGAAAACTAGTGCAAGGAGCATTTTTAAGCTGAAACCTTAAAAATGACGTTTTTGGCGGATATACGGGGCAAAACGGATCGGGTCCGAAATTTTTCTTACTTCTCAATATATCTCTTCATATACTAAAAGTTGTCCAATGGCTCTTAAGGCCGAGCGGAGACTTAAATCTCACCGCGATCTCACTTTGAATAAGTGCAGAGAGCTGAAATATCTCTTATTTACCCTAGTACCGGTGTACATTGTCGACATCTCCAAATTAAAAAAAAAAATTCTATCCCCTAGGGATGGGGGAGGAAGAGAATGTTCAGCTTAATCATAACGCCATGAAAGCTTGTGTACCAGGCTCATTTTGTCGTCTTCTGGTTAAATATAATAAATTCGTTGTCGATTTTTTGTCCGCCATTCACATAATAACGACTGAATGCATTTCAATGGCATTTTCAATGTTAAATAGTTTAGGGCCTCCGATCGATTATACGCTATAATCTATTGCGCTGCGTTGCATGTTTACATGCAACGTAGAAACTTCTAGAAAAATGTAGAGGTTTCCGGAACTGTGGAGAAATGTAGAATATTCTTGAGTTTTTGAAAATATTTTCTGGTTCTCTCCAAAGTTCATGAATATTTTCGGGCTGGAGAAATCTTGAATATTCTCGAATTTTTGAGAACATTTTTGGGTTTTTGGGAAAAATTGGAAGAAATTATCCAGTTTTATACGAAGTTCGAGAAAATTGTTTTTTGTTTCTAATTGAGACACTTCTTGGGTTTTCATAGAAACTTTTCAAAAATTGTAAATCTTTCTGGAAAAATGTGGAACATTCTAGGGTGTCAAAGAAAAATTTGTGATTGTCTATAATATCTCAAATGTAATAAATCTGTTGACTTTTTTTTATTTGCGTTTTTCCGCAAAAATTACAGAAGGGATCTAAAGGGGTAACAGAATGCCGCTAGTTGTTCAAATTCTCAACGCATCGAATTTTCTGCGGAAAGTTATCGATACTTTTGAAAATCGAAGCACATTGTCTTCAGTAGGTGATGATGAAGATCAATGTGCTTTGGGTTTGAAAAATATTAATAACTAAATTACAGTTTTTGAATTTATCTACCGTGGTGTATAGACATTGAATGAATTTTTATTCAGCCGTGCAATCATTCGTAATTCCTCAGATATTAATGAGGTACATTTTTCAGTGCGAAAGAAAAATGTACTTCACTAACATCTAACGAATTATGAATGACCGCAAAGTCGAATAAAAATTCATCTAATGAATATTAAGGATAATCGGGCGAGGAGTAGGATATTCAAAGAATGCAGCCAATTTTATGAAGATTTTTTCACACATTATTGAATCCATTTACTATCCGTTTCAGAAGTAGAGAACCCTAGGGTTATGTGCGTATAACGTGAGAAAAAAAAATCGTAAAAATATGAGACCAATTGCACTGTGTAATATAAGTATTTCACTCGCCCAATACGAAGTTTCAAGTTTTCAATTTGATTAGTTTATTTATAATCGCTGTGAGAAGCCGACAAACCCTCCGATTTTCAGGGTCCGTAAAAGTCGGCAAACTTTGAACCGCTACCATACGTACGAAATTTTTTTTTTTTAAGTCGTCAGTTTTTGAGAAGAAAAAACTCAATATTGTAATAATTATTTATTTAATTAATAGAAATGTCGACTGCGGCTATCTCGTTGTACAATTGCCGAATCGACCTGAAAAAAAAGATGTATTCTGAATTCAATGTAAAACACATTCGGTCAATATTTTTCTAATAAATAATCTCCGTTGATAAAAAAAAAATCGAGGAAATTCGTCAAAAAAGTGCTGTTAAAACGACCATAACTCGTTATGGGGTTTATGGGTCCGCTCACCGTCGATCCCTTAAAATTGAAAACACATGTGCCGCCTGCCTACCTCTTTCAGGGACGTCGATACCAGTTACCGTCGTTTGGGCCCTCTGGGAGCAAGCAATGTACAGTGTATTTGCGCCCCGAAGGGCCCAAACGTCTGTAACTGGTATCGACGTCCCTGAAAGAAGTAGACAGGCGCACATGTGTTTTCAATTTTGAGGGACCGACGGTGAGCGGGCCCATAAACCCCATAACGAGTTACGATAGTTTTAAGAGCACTTTTTTTGACGAATTTTCTCTATTTTTTTTTAAATCAACGGGGATTGTTTATTAGAAAAATATTGACCGAATGTGTTTTACATTGAATTCAGAATGCATCTTTTTTTTGAGGTCGGTTCGGCAATTCTACAAAGAGATAGCCGCAGTCGACATTTCTATTAATTAAATAAATAATTATTACAATGTTGAGTTTTTTCTTCTCTCGTTGGCTTCCCAAGGGTTCACCGAATCTCTGGAAAAATTGACGATTTAAAAGAAAATTTTTTCGTACGTATGGTGGCGGTTCAAAGTTTACCGACTTTTACGGACCCTGAAAATGGGGCGATTTTTCTGCCTCTCACAGCGATTATAAATAAACTAATCAAATTAAAGACTTGAAACTTCGTATTGGGCGAGTGAAATACTTATATTACATAGTGCAATTGGTTTCATATTTTTACGATTTTTTTTTTCAAGATTTTTTTTTAATCGTTATTTTACATCGCTTTGACCTGCTTGGGGTATACTGCGATGATCAAGATTTTAAATGGTTAGATCGAACCATTCTACCCGGCCGGGATTTGAATTCGGAACCTTTCGCATGTGAGGCAATGAACTTACCCACTGCGCCACGCCACCAGGTTTTTTCTCAAGTTATGCGCATATAACCCCAGGGTCCCCTACTTCTGAAACGGATAGTAGACACTGTTTGCAAAATTTTAGAAACCCCAAAAACAGATCAACAAAAAAGATTTTTAAAGTTGCTGCTTATACATGAGGTGAAATGGATCATCGATAATTTCAGTATTCTTTCCACATTGCCGATTGGGCGATAATGTACGGGAAATGCACGAGTTATCGGTGCGCTCTTTAAGGAGTAACAGAATATCGCTAATTTGCTAAATTTTTGAAAAAATTTCCTGCTGAAAGTTATCAATATTTTTACAAATCCAAGCATATTAATCTCCAGGAAGCGATGATGGAGATCAATGTGCTTTGGGTACAAAAAAATATTAATACCTTTGAGCAGGAAATTTGTTTGAAAATTTCGAGGTAACGGTGGCCTTCTGTTCTACCTTAAGCCCATGTATAGGCAGCAACTTAACCCTCCTGAACTGGCTCAATGAGCACTGCGCCGCCCGTTTTCGAATTTTTCTCGTTTCAATGAAATGAGAGTCAATAAAAATCTGAAAAAATTATAATGTCTAATTTTGATTATATTGAATTTATTTGCCATTTTTATTGCGTTCATACTCGCATCGATTGAGTACCAAAAAAGTCTAAAAATTCGAATGGCTTAGAATCCCCATGTTTAACCTCTAAAAATCCCATATACATATTTTGTCATAACGGCTGTAAACAGCGCTTGTAAAGCGCTGCCTTACGGCCGGAATGACGAAATAGTACATTACATGCCTGAATCTTGGAAAATAGATCACCGTCCCTCACGTGCAAGATTGCCTTCCGATCCGAAGGCGAGGATGGCAAGCACCTGGGGGAGGATGATATATTTTCCATGGCGAGGTGTGTATATTAATTTTCATGAAAATTACCTGACACGAAAAAGTCTTTGACACATGTACGCCGGGGATTTTTCAGAACCCGTCGCACTTGCATAGAAATATACAATTAAGTGCTTACATGTTTGGATAAACATCAACTGTCCTAGCAATTACGGATGTTTTGAATAAATTCACCTCAAATTTATTATTCATTAGCATACATATTGGATAATTTCAGTGAATTTCTATATTATCCAATATATATTATAATTTTCCTCTTTACCCAATAATTTTCAGTTCAATGAGCTGAATAAATGCTTCCTTAGATTTCCCTCATGAAACGATTTAATGACTGAGGAGGTTTAATGAAAGAAGAAATATTCATGGAGCTTTTTTTTTGCTTTTCAGATGAAGATGAGTGAGTCCATGATGGAGGGGAACATGATGGACTCGAGCATGATGCAGGATAATAAGGAGAGAATGGGAGGGAATAATGGACCCATGGGCGGACGAGGCGGTGGTGGTATGCGTGGCGGCGGACGAGGTGGTCGCGGCGGTGGTGGAGATCGAGGCATGGGGAATCGGTCACAAGATGTAAGAACAAGAATTATTTGATATTATGGTTTTTACTGTTTTACTTTTATGATAATAAGGTGGGAAGAGATTACACAGGGAAAAAAAGTTTCTAATTGATTATTCGGCCATAATACGGTTATACATATCTATACATGTTGAAGAAATGAAACGGTTGAATAGAAATTTGAAAAATTTCTGGTTTTCAGTCTGAAACTCTGAATTTCAGAACATACGGTCAGAGAAAACGGCAGAGTTCTCAAACAAGTCTCACTTGTGCCAAATAAATCGTTTGTTAAAAATCATCAAAAAAAAAATTTTTTATGCTAAACATGCGAAGAGTGCGCCGAGATTTAAAATTTTTATTGCAAAAATAGATTTAGTCTTCTCAAAAAAATGTTATTTTCTGTGCAAACAAGAAATGTAATTTCTGGCACTACTTCGATATTAGATGCACCTATACATAACTCAATTATTTATTTACAAACAACGAACATTTAAAAAAATAATAATTCTACGCAAAATGGAATTTAAATGCCGTAGAATATTAATAATTTTTTTCAAATTTTTCTCACGCAATTCAATTGATCAATTTGATGATTGAAAATTGTTGAATCTATAGTGTGGTCTGTACTAAACTCTAAAAGATACTTGGATATCCGTAATTCTTTTCTAATGTGCAATTGAAAAACTTTCCACACGTGAAATAAGTAAGGTTTATATATCATCATCACTTCATCAATGCATTAGTATAGTGGTTCATTTATTTTCAAAGGACTGAGATGTTTGTAAAAACAACTAATATTGTTTCATGCGTGAAGGAATTGATTTACACTTTATTCAGAGGTTTTAAAAATTACACTTTCTTTATTTTTCCAAGTTGAAATAAATCATCTTATGGAACCCTAAGTAATGAACATCTCAGTATTGAGTGGTGAGGGAATGAATTATGCAGAGACATCTATCGTAGGCAATCTTCTGCCATATAAAAAAGTTATATGCTATTGTTGCTTTTAATTTCTAATTTCTGAGGTCGTGATCCAATCAACAGCGATTTGTTCCAATCCTAAATTCTTTATCACACCGAGATTTGAGATCACAGAAAGCCTCACTCATTGCCATCTTTATGAGCCCAGTTTGATTTAATCTTATCACGAACTAATTAAATTTAGCTATTTTCGTTTGAACTGAAAATCAGGACTCTTTTTTTTTCTATTTTTGCAGCTGCACAAAAGATCAGTTGATGAGCGACGAAAACACAAAATGTCGCCGTGCATTTCTCGTAATTTTCTTTGCATGAGGATTTCCATTATCATTACCATTCAATTCAATAATTTCAATAATTCACGATTAATTAAATAATTACATGAATTATAATTAGTCGCTAGATTAATTTATACTATTTTATTTTATTTTCTTTCCATTTCTGTCTTTACAATTAGATTAACTTAATTTTATCCATTCTTCTTTTTATTATATATATTTTTTCCTTAATTCGCAAGTTACAATATGGAATGAAGAAGAATTATGTTAAAGATCTATAAAAAGTTTTTTTTTGTGATCAGAACACATAAAACAAAAGGCATTCGAAATCTCATCCGGGTAATAGAAAAATCTCTCCATGTATTCCTGACAATTTTTAAAATCAATTTTTACCTTCATATGGTAAAGTGATATCGGTACACCTCGTTCCTATGGTCGGATTGCAATTATTATTATGAAAAGGAAATGAAAAAAGAATCAGAACGACATAATCGGCTATAAAATGGATTTTTTTCTTCTTTTATATCGGCGGAAACTTCGAATGCCTTTTTTTCTTCAAGTATTAGAGGAAAGTTTTCAAATCGATGTATTCTTTCGAATAATGGGAAAATACCTATAAATTCGTCTTCTATCCTTCTCTTTTCATAGAATGAGTAGAATAAATGACAGAAATTGAGAATTATCGACTAAATTTTTTATCGGATTCCTATTATGTAATGCAAATGATCGTATAAACCCGACGCTACGCTTGTTTGAGCAATTCTTGCTCACCAAGTGCCAAATATAATACAAAAAATCGGGGAATAGTGAATCCTTTCTAGGAAGCACGATTGGATACTCAATACCTTTACGTGTGCTGAAATACTGGATACAATTTTATATTCATTAGAAATATTATAAATGACTCCAGGCTTTGTGCAGTCTACTGTCATGCTAGCACCTCTTCGAAATCAAAGTGAATAATCATTTTTTTTCCCTCCTGCAGGATCGAATAATGGAGAAACTAATGAGTCTCAATGGACCAACTTTCGAGCTTCCCGCTCAGGATACAACAGAGAAGAAATTTAGTGGGCGAAACCGTCTCTATGTTGGAAACCTCCCCAACGACATCACTGAGGAAGAGATTACAAACCTGTTCACTCCATTCGGTGAAATCTCTGAATTGTTCGTCAACAAGGAAAAGAATTTCGCTTTTCTACGAATGGTAAAGCTTCTTAGACAATTTCTTTTATTTATTAATTTTTTTCAAATAGTTTCTTCTCATACTTTTATAATGTTTTTAAGAGTGAAACTCTTGACATGCCTGGGATTCATCAAGTTCAGTTGAATGTAGCACAAGTGAAATCCATTCCATCAATAGATAACTAATAATGTCATGTGCGTTTTTTTTTTAATCGTTATTTTACATCGCTTCGACCCGGTTAGGGTATCCTGCGATGATGATCAAGACTTTAAATGGTTAGATCGCACCATTCTACCCGGCCGGGATTTGAACACGGAACCTTTCGCATATGAGGCAACGAACTTACCCACTGCGCCAAGCCGCCGGACGTAATGTCATGTGTTGAGAATGCAAATTCCCGCAAATAATTTTGTCCATCAAGCGTTGCTTGAGTGACAATCTTGCTGAGCTTAATTACATTGAACTCATTTCTTCGTGTTGAAACTTTCTCTGCTGAGTTATCAAACGACTTTCTCGTTTGCCGTCGCAGCGGTATTTTCACATGAGAGAGCAAATATGCGTCACTTTTTATTTGCCCAATCGGCGGAAAGTTGTAGTGGAAGAAAAATGTTTGTAAACAGAATTTCCAGTTATATATTCCACAATATCTCGAAATTATTGTGATTTAACTATTTCACTTAGGTTTACGTTCATCTGAATTTCATTAATTCCAATCTAGTTTAGTAAAATTTGATATTTATTGAGGTGAATGTCCCAGTAGTAGAACATACAAAAAGAAACATGTTTTTTTCATGAGCGAAAAGAAATCACTTTGAATGTATCAATTTGCTTCCATCAGTGGGCTGCTAAAATGTGGTACCAAATAATAAATTACAGAAAATACGCTGAATTATTCAAAGAAGTTAGAAAAAAACGCAATATAGTCTTTCAATTTAATTTAAAAAGAAAAATAGTCTTCCAATAACATATTTCACCGAATAGTCTGCCCCACGTCAATATATTAAATTGATTAGGTTGGATGTCCACATTTGGGAGAACACACTCGTTAAGTAATAGATTATATCTATTACAAAGGAGGGTGGCGCAGCCCCCAATGGGGGNGGCTGCGAGAAAAACACTAAATACACAGAAGAAAAATAAGTTGATATCTCGATTTTTACACAAGATAATACAGAAAAATGAGAATATCTCGAAAACTTTGTGTAAACACGGATACATATGTTCTAATTGATTTAGATACAAGACATCGAAACGAATATTTTGAAAAAAAAATCTAAATCGGTCCACGATTGAGCTGAAATTTTGCACCGGGTTAGTCCTCATTAAGTCCTATGATTTGACAAAATTTCAGGTTTTTGGAGTTACTTTAGCCGCTTAATTACTCAATTTTCTAAAAATTGATCACTGAGAAGGTGGCGGTGGACATGAAATGTAAAAATACGAAGTTTGGTCTGGCCATTCTACATCATTTTCAATAAAAATTAGAGAATTTGAAAATTGAACAATTACAATACTTCCATTAGGAAGCAAAACGGAAGAGTAAAAATAATTTGTCGATTTTGGCAACTGTCAAAAAAAAAACAACGCTTTCATAAAACAATTCTACCGAATTTCTATGGGAACTACAAGTTGAGCTCGAGCCCGAGCGGTTCCTAAGATATGCAACCTTTTAAGTAAATATATTTCTTCAAATATTTCATGAGCTACTTGACAGATTTCAATTTTTTTCACAATACTCGTCTTGGCCGCCACTGTCTGGATCAATGAAAATATATGGATCCTTTCATACAAAGTTTTCGAGGTATTCTCGTTTTTTGGCACTCCTAGACGATAGGCGTCAGTTAGCGGGACTTACTGATGAAAACATTATTCTACTCCTGGATATGGTCTCTTAACATTATTATAAAATTTGTTGCATTCACAATATTCTCATTAAAATGATTAAACAAATTACCGTTTGAGTTATTATGATAATAATCCCTGGCTGCTTTTTTAAAGTGATGATTCAATCATCTCTAATTTAGTTTTCCTTGATCCAGGATGACAAAAATTTATCAAATTTGTTCCTTTTTCGTTCTCAGGACTTCAGAGCTAATGCCGAGAAAGCAAAACACGAGTTGGACGGTTTGAAAAGGGGAGCACGAGCAATGAAAGTGAGATTTGCCCCTCATTCATCAGCGATCAAAGTAAAGAATCTCACACCACATGTATCCAATGAACTTTTGGAGAAATCATTCAGCGTTTTCGGTGACATCGAGAGGGCTATTGTTGTCGTTGATGACAGGGGACGTCCCACTGGGGAGGGCATCGTGGAATTCGCTAAGAAACCATCAGCACAGAACGCTATTCGCAAATGCACAGAGAGCTGCTTCTTCCTCACTGCGTAAGCATCAATTTTAATTTGAAATAATTTCTCAATTGACTTTACGTTCTGACCAGCTGCAATCGTACATGAAAAAATTGTTTGTTGATAATTTTTATCAATTACAACAAATGTCTCTTGATATTTTTCTGAAATTACCCACTGAGATTTACATGATGAATTCATGGTGAATAGTATGGGAGAAGAGATGGGAAATCAGTGGGAAAATTTCACTGGTGATTGAGAAAAAAAAATCCAATTTGCGTACCTAAGTTACTGATTTTAGGAAATAATAATATATAATAATATATAATAATATATATAATATATATAATATATATATAGTCTAATATATATATTACTAATATAGTCTGGTAATATACTTTTAATAATAAGGCATTTATAAACATGAATAAATTCACCAATGAACAAGGAAAATAATCAATTCAAGAACGAGAATGTAGGAATGTCTGTTAGACAGACCTGAAATTCAGGGGTTTTTATGGGAAAGTAGTAACATTTTTCATTGTATTAAATTGTCAGCAAACCCCAACGCCACGCTTGTTTGAATCAAAAAATGATCTACAAGTGCCATTTAATTATTTAAACTGGGGAAAATTGAGGATTAGTCCCGACTAGGAAGCATAATTAGACGAACAAATGTCGAATTGTGTGCCAAAGTACTGGATACATTAATATCAGACAATTAAACACATGTTCCATCCTCACACATAGTCATCTTCTAGAGCAACATGATTGCCTGAGATGACTCGATTGGAGAAATACGATTTTGAAAATATAAATACTTCTGTCACTTTTTTCAATCATGGAAAAGCCCTATTTTTGGCAACTGAATCGACATTCTTAAAAATTAGTGAGATGGGAATTCTGCCATTTACGATGGGAAACTTTTTCATTGTGATTTTTAGATCACTGCGACCAGTCGTGGTAGAACCATTTGAGCAGCAGGATGACATAGACGGTTATCCAGACAAAAACATCCAAAAGAAGCCAGAATACTACAAAGCCCGTGATGTTGGCCCCAGATTCGCACAACTTGGCAGTTTTGAACATGAGTATGGTACTAGATGGAAGCAGCTTCATGAATTGTACAAACAGAAGGAGGAAGCCCTCAAGAGGGAGATGATTATGGAGGAGGAAAAGTTGGAGGCTCAGATGGAGTTTGCAAGATACGAGCATGAAACTGAACTGCTTCGAGAACGTAAGTTCATTCCTTAATTAAATGAAATTTACAGCTAAGTAATCGAATCACTTGAGCAGAGTAATTCTTTACGAATTATTCTAAAGATATATCTGAAATAAGGAAATTGAAGAGAAATTTCGAACGAACTTTATATAGTTCAGAGACTTTTCTTCAGAAACAAATGTCACCTGACGTTTTTTTTTATTTTTCCGCTTTTGCGGATTTTTAGAATAAATTGCAAATAGATTCGGCAATTTTTACGATTAAAATAAATTGTCTCTTCAAATTGTTTATTAACCCCAACGCCACGCTTGTTCGAGTAATTATTCCTCAGCAAGTGCCATATTTCAAAACAAAACTTGGGGAATAGCAAATCCTTTCTAGGAAGCACGATTGGATATTAAATACCTTTACGTGTGCTGAAATACTGGATACAATTTATTACAATTTATAATTATTGAGAAGTAGCAACTAATTGCAGTCACTCCTTGCGATGATTCTCTTGATTCAAATTAATCCATAAATTTTGCCAACTCCGCAGAATTGAGAATGAGAGAGGCAGACCGTGAACGCCAGAAACGTGAATGGGAAATGAAAGAGCGTCACGCTGAGGAACAGAGGTCACGTGAGGAGGAAGTCAGGAGACGTCAACAAGAGGAGATGACACTTCGTATTCACCGACAAGAGGAGGAATTGCACAGACGTCAGCAGGAGAATAATTTGTTTATGCAGGTGTGTTGAATTGTCGAAAAGAAAAACTTTCTCTAGATTTTCTTTTGTAAATTTTCATTTCATAAGGATATCGAAGTATTTTTACAGTTCGGTACAGATTACACTGTAGATTCAACAATTTACAATCACCAAATTTATCAATTAAATTGCGTGAGAAAAATTTGGAATATATCATGAATATTCGGCGTCATTAAAATTACATTTTGCATAGGATTATTATTTTTTAAAACATTCGTTGTTTATAAATATATAATTGAAATTGTTTAAACTTTCGGAAACCTTATTGTTTTAGGCATGAAGTCGATTTCTGGCAAAATTCTGAATATGAAAAAGTTGTTACGATTCCGAACAAATGGGTTTTATGGTGGAAAATGGATTGTTTATAAATTATTTCTAGAAAATGCTCGTAATTTCCAAAAATTGTAATTTTAAAATTATCCATTAATCTTCCTCCAAACGTAAACGTTCCAATTTTTTCAGAATTTTAAAATGTTTTCTAACGATTCAATATCGAGTTTAAAATTCCGACCTGCAAAATTTAAACAAAACCATTGTAATGTTCTCGGAAACTTGGGGCTCAAATGAAAGCTCTGATGTTCGACTACAAAAGTGAAAAAACATTTCTCTGGAGAAAAAATAGCTAAAGTACTAGGATATCCTTAAGAAAAATGACTGATCAATAAATTTGTGAAATGATTAAAAACATTACCGTTTGATTATCATCATGATAATAACCCACGGCTGCTTTTTCAAGTTATGATCACAAACTAATGAAAAGTGTTTTCAGTAAGACGAAAATTAATTCATAGCAAAAATTGAAAAAAAAATTTTTTCTCAAAATCTCAATTTTCACAATTTTGTGTTTATTTTTATAGGAACAAGCAATGAGAGGCACTGGTAATAAGAACTACGATGCCGTTCAGAATAATGATCGTGACGCTTACAATGGTCCTGACGGTAAGAAATTTGTCTCACAATTTTTCCAAATATTCACAGAGCAAGAAAAATGATTTCACTTGAAACAAAAAGAAAGAAATCGATCAATTTCCTTCCAAATTTTTTTTTTTTTTTTTTTAAATGTATCGTGAATTTAGGGACATGACAAAATTTTTTAAAAGCACTTGTTTCTTCAATATTTCCCTAAAATTCAAAGATATGGGTAAAAACTCCCTTGAGGTTGAATTTAATTGATTTATAGATTGAAAATTACAATTTATCATCTTCCGAAGACTGAGTATTCTCGTCTTTTTTACTAATTACGACATTGTTTCCTCTTGTTCACAGGTGGAAACAACTTGCCAGTGGTAATGTATTCTAAATTTTCTTCTCACTAACTTCTTTCGAAAAACTCTTGAATTAAATTTGACTCTTCATTTTTTTTCATTTTCTTTTCGATACTAATTGTTTTTCTTTTTTTTTTTAATCTTACAAATTCAAAGTCCATCACTGCTAATGTATTGATTAAACCTCAGATATGAACGTGGTGCCTTCAAAAGGATCTCAAACACTTTTCTTACAACTGAAATTTAGAAAAAAAAGTGGAACATTATTCGGTTTTTATTTCAAAAAGTCTGTAGAGAAGAATCAATCATCTTTCCTGCAGTAAGACTTTGACAATAGGAGAAAATTCTATTGCATGAACACTCTCACGACAGAATAGCTGTAATCATTCTTGTAAATTAAGGGATTATTCAACTGTTGGTGGATTACTGGTCACAGAGTTCTAATGTCTGCATTATTGCTTGTAAAAACGAAAAAAAATGTTAATTTCTTGTCCTTTGAATGATACGAATTGAATTAGAGCATTGACGCATGGAGATATCCTCGAACACCCGCTATAAGAAGTTAATTTAATTTATAAGATGAGTATGCTGCAAACTAAAAGAAAAATTAATGTTAAGGTGACGGTAACTACAACAAATTGAAATTGCACTTACACACTTGATGAAAATGAGCAAAAAAAATCCCACATATTCTAGATTATCGGTGGGATAATTAAATATCATTGATATTTCATCTCCATAAAAATATATTGTTTATTGAGAAAATGAAAACTTATGCCGTAAAATTAGCTACTAGGATTAGAAATATCTACAAAACTACATATGCTTTATGTAGTGGTTCTCCTTAGAACACAACTTCACTTTAGAAATAATTTTTTATTCGATTTTCTTTAATTCATCGATAAATTCAATCATAACATGACAATCGAAGTCATTCAATTGACATGAATTTGTCCATTACGAGAAAAAAAAATAGTTTCTCATAAATGATAATTAACAATATGAAATATTCATAGTGATAGAACCCGAGGTAATTAGCACAATATATGAAATTGTTACCGTTACCTTGATTTCTGAAACACTGAAATCAAAAGAGCGAATGAAATTCGCTACGAAATTTTAATCTATTCTCGTAAATACCCACGTCAAGTCCATCAGTCAGCTATCATTGATTTAACCACCCCTAAATGTTCAAGATGGCTGCACTAGTGGTACTAAGAATATCTAAGACAACTGAATTTTTAGACGGGAAGGGATTGAAAAAAAAGATCGTTAAGGTGATGCCTTCAACCTGGAACTTCTCGAAAGTTCCGGTATTCTTGCGATTTTCCATCATTGCGCAGAAACACCCTGAGGGAGACCTATTATATTCATTCTTTCCTCTATAAAAAGAACCAAGGATGTGCAGAAAAGCATATAAAAAACAAACATCTCCTGTAAACGAATCCAATCCAAATGAATCAATCGACCCCGATGATTATTCCTCCCTCCTTCAACGTGAAAAAGAAAAATACTTGAATCATTTCTATTCATAATGTGTCTCGAAAGATTACTCCATGTGAATGCAGACAAGAGACTCTGTTGTGTTTTACGCTTATTATTTTATTGAATATTACGTCAATTATGAACATCGAAAATTCTCACAGATTAACAAAGTATAGAACAAAAAGGAGAGATTTTAAAAATTTGAAAATTTTTCAGTTTCAATTTTCTAAATTAATCGAAGTTGTGAAATTCAGATGAATGCATTAAGAAATCCTGATCAAATTTCTTCAATCATTGTCTGAATGATTCAAGCTTTGATATCTCATCGAATGGTGAATGTGATTAATTAGATTCTCACGCGATATTCTTACAAAATATGCAATTATCTCGGAAAGGAGTGATTTTAGAACAAAATAAGAGCAAGAAATTTCCAAAAAGAAAGCCTCGACATTTCTTTAGCTGAGAAGAAAAGAGAAAATGTTTTCAAACAAGTCTGGTTCGAATAAAAAAAAAAGTTGATAATTATCATGAAAAACAATAAAAATAAATAAAATTTGGAGGGTGTCCTGAGATGAAAAATTTTTGTGGTAAAAATACGTTTAGTTGCTCTAAAAAATTATTATTCTCTTTGCAAGTGAACAATCTTATTTTTATCACTGCCTTGGTTTTTATTTATGTCCTGGGATAATAATAACCCCCCAAGGACAACCCGAAAATAATGACATGATTTATCCAACCTAGAAGAAATACAAAATGTATATTCAAAAAGTTGAACAATTTCAGTAAAGAAGTAATTATTCTATACTATCATACATATTTTGCTCCAAGAGCGAGTAATTTTTCGTTTCAGCTACCCAATACTCTAAGATGAATAATGAACCCTTAAGGATATCCAAGTACTTTGGCTATTTTTTCTCCAGTTAAATTCTTTTCTACTTTTGCATTCAAACATCAGAGCGTTTATTTAAGTACCATTTAAACTCCAGTTTCCAGACATTTTACAATGATTTTATTATTTAAACTTTGCAGGTCTGAGTTTGAATCTCGATATTGAACCGTTAGAAAACATTTTAAAAGTCAGAAACAAAATTAGAAAGTTTATTTTTGGAGGAAGATTGATGAAATAATTAAAAAATTGCAATTGTTGAAAATTTCGAGCATTTTCTGTGAATAATTTATAAACAATCAATTTTCCATCATAAAAGTTTGTTGGGAATCGTAACAAATTTATTCATATTCAGAATTTTACTAGAAATTCGAAAGTTTCAATAATTTCAATTATTCATTTATAAACAGCGAATGTTTAGAAAAATTCTGTGCAAAATGTTATTTTAATGACGCTGAACACTGATGATTTTTTTTTCAAATTTATCTCACGCAATTTAATTAACAAATTTGTCTGTATCAAACTGTACAAGATACTTGGATATCCTTAAATGAAATAATCATGATAATATGATAGCGATTCTGTCATTAAGGAAAAAAACTCTTCATTAACTTTCTTTTGTGAGAGTTATTTTCATCCTAAAAAGGCATTTGCTAGTGATCTGCCTCTAGATTAAAATATTTCGTTGTTGAAAATAGAGCGATTATTCATGTTCTGAACGGTCGTATCTTATATTAAAACAATTTCTAATCTGGCTATTATCAACTTGCGACTTTTGGCAAAAAAAAATTGTTTCAAAACGTTCTTTTTCTGTCAATGTTCGATCACTAATTTTCAGGACAATTTCACAATCGTCAACTTTGTCTGGTTCATTCAGTTTTAACGTGAATTACTCCAACCACTTTTTTAATCTGTGAGCATAAAATCTAACTGATAATTCTCACCAAATCTGAGAAACAATGATAATCCTGTAAATTAGCGCGGTTACGATCCGCGAAAATGCTCCACTGATCTTGACTCAAATAATTCTAACATTATTTTTTCCCCTTTCTTTTCTATGTGATATGACGAAAATTGAACGATGACTTCTGCTGCTGTCAAACAATGGATGCTCGCCCATAAAAAAAAATGTGATGAACAAAAAAACATGGTGCATAAACCAAAACAAAAACCATAAACAAACGTCAACAAAATTCGATAATCATTGCATCTAAAAATCGAATCGTGTTCTTGAAAAAAAAACAATCAATTGAATGAATCACACAATTTAATTGATAAAAAAACGAAATATTCAGGATCCAAAGTCATTTATGGATGCATATAACAATATGGACCGCGCAACTCGCGGTGGGGGTTACAATGACGACCGTGGTGGACCGATAATGGATTTGATGGATATGAGGGTTGATATGGGCACCATGGGTAGTAATCGTGGAAACAGTGGTGGTGGTGGTGGAAATGCAGGTGCAGGAGTCTGTGGCGGTGCTGGTCGTTGGCAGGGTGCTAATGACCGTAACCGCCAGGAAGATTATCCTAACAAAAGGAGACGCTACTGAATAATCAGTATTAGAATTTATTCATTCTTATTTCAACAAAAAATAACAGACCATTGAAAATCTAAATCCCTCCTCACACGAACAATCAATTGAAGTTATTTTAATCAATCGACGTTTTACTTCACCAATAATTTTACGACAGAAAATTTTAAGAATAGGATGAAGTAACGAGTGAAGTACTGCTCGGTACTGTTAATTCAATCTTAAATTATTCTAACCCCGTGAAGTCTTCGATACGAAACAAGAACTTGAAACATTTCGCTTTCATGTGAGGAATATTCCTATTCTGATTTCAGTTGTATTTCTTCGCACAATGAAAGCATATACTTAAGTGCTTATGTATATGATATTCAAGCTAATCCTCGATTGTATTATTTACAATTATTTGAAAAATTGTTCTCTGTAGCCAGTAGAAAACGTCCTACCATGAATTTCCATAGATTATTAGGGCTTGGTTTACAATTAGTGTAACCATTAAATCCTTCAGTTGCAATATGGAAATTATTTCCCACTTACTCCGAAAATTCACTAAATTTAATCATTAGTCTTTCCATATCAGTCCATCTTGACGCACTTTTCCACGAATAATAATAATAATAATAATAATTGTTTAATTTAATGAATGACTTCATCGTTTCTTTTCACTTAAATCACAAAAATACTAAAATTATTGATGTATTTACGATACTAAGGTATTTGTCTACGTAATATTTAACATAAGTAATACGAGTTTCAGCCTGCATGATTTCCCAAGGGGAATGTACTATATCATATGTGGATTGATGTATATCCCTAGGGACATACAATCGCATATGAATGTGGCAGATGGGTTGAATCGTAAAAATCAACTCCAGATTTTCTTTTTCTTATTCAGAAATGAATATAGAGGGCTGAAATGGGAATGTTGATTCTATTGATCAACGTTCGTTAATGTCTGTATGTGTGAAGTATCTTAATCATATAGCATAATTTTCATGAATAAACATTTTGAAAAGCATTCGCCCACTTGAATGAAATTGTCTATTTAATGATAGGGGTGAGGGAATCAGTCAGAAGCAGAGGGCTTATTGAGGAGAGTTGAGGGGATGTTGAAGATCACGAACACTGTTAGAAAAACAACGAAATTTCATGGACAGTCGACTACTAATTTTCAGGATAGTGACACTGAATGCGATTTAGGAGAAAAATAATAATGAAATTTCAGGTTTCACTGAAGTTTCAATAAAATTGCAGAATTTTAAGGAGCATAAAGATGAGAATTCCGCAATTTATTTAATTTCCAATCTAACATGAATATTCAGTGCCAAATTACATAGAATTTTCTGTGAATTTGAAATTTCATGATTTTCTCCCTCTAAATCGTATTCAGTGTCACTATCCTGAAAATTCCAGAATGTATTTACTAGAATTGTCTGGTTTTCGATTTATTTTCGGGGAAAAATGGAACTGAAATTTACAGTTCTCTTTGATTTTTCCACGAAATTCTGAATTTTCAATGACGAAATCCCTTGACATTTCAGTGGTATTTCAATTCGATAAAAATTTCCAAAAAGTATACCAGAAATTCCAGACAAAAATTTTTAACAGTGAAGATTATTTATTACAGGGTTTATAATCGTTTCAGATGAGAATCGGTTTTTCTCCTTTCGAAGAATAAACTGTCCGTCAAACAGTTTTAGTCTCAATCTTGACTATTTCCAATACAAAATCGCAAGTGTGTTGAAGTGGTAAATCGGAATAAGTTGATTCGTCTCATTCCGTTGTTTCTGAAATTATTTTTCGAACTAGTTATTTTAGGAGGAAAACTCGAGACCTTTTTTGGAGACGATTTTCTCATCTGCAAAAGAGATCTTGTAACATTTTGCCCTAAAATCCTTTATTTTCGAGATAATTGGCGAAGATTTATTTGGTCATAAAAATTGATGAACATGCGAAACTTGCATTCTATATATTCTATATGGAATGCAAGTTCATGCTGTTGACAAAATTTTGGGTCTAATAGTGTACGATCCGTCGGAATCAAACGAAATTAATCAACTAAATTCAGGGTGAATATTTGATGAATATCTTCAAAACTAAAGGAGATCGAAGAATTTTCCTGATTGAGAAATTCTTTAGAGGAATTCTAGCTCCTGTTCGGGAAAAAGAGCAAAATCCATCGGGGATGAAAAAATTATAGTGCTGTTAAGTAAAATTTTCCGGGATTTCTGGGAAAAATTTCATATCAATAAAACAAAAGTTATTGTGCCAGCACTAAAATTTTCCTAAAGGATTTTTCTCCGTGTGTCTTCCTTGAATTCCAAAATTTTCAGCAAGATTTGAGTCCTCAGCAAAAATAATTTCGACCTCGGAATTATTACCCATTATCGGATTATCAAACAACCAAATCGAATGTCAATGAAAGTTGAATTCAATTGAGATTCAGTATTTCATTGAAATGGTGGGGCGGTACTCTTGAAGGTAGTTGGTGCAATAATCTCGGCGAGAAGTCACTCCTTATAAATTTCAGATGAAAATCATAAATACCCAATCGACTTCTGTTTTGTTATTTTTAAGTTCTTTTTCAACTAAGTATATGTGGACGTCAGGTGTATTTATGTAAACTGGATGAAAATTCTATATTCCTCGAGACCGTCCATCTATTGGCCCTAGCTCTAGTTGATTGAGTATCTGGGCGATATTCCACTTTTCCCTCATTTAACCCTAGTTTGGTCAGCATATGACAACTTGCGACTTCGGTCACCCCCGCAGGGAATCGCCGCCGTGTTATTTAGGCCCGAGCGTTGCCGAATTCACTCTATACTGCCCGGACGCGTTTAGCGAGACTTTGGCAACGTCGCACAACGGGCAATTTAATTTAACACGGGAAAAAATTGCCCGTTTGTTAGAAATAATTTTTTTTCTCCAGGAATTGTGGATATAAATAATTTAAAAAAATATAATTTTCTAGACACTTGAATTGACGCAATCCAATTTTTTAGGATTTTTCCGCTCAGCCAGTCAATGGTAAGAAAAAAAAATCGACCTTCTGCGGCGTTTCCTTCCTATGATGACCAAACTGGGGTTAATTATTCTTCTCTTCATTTTTTCCACTTCAAATTATTTTTTCCTACTTCATGTATTCTTTCAGGCCTAGAAATCCTTTTATGAAGTTCCATATTTCCTTAACCTATTAGCTATTGGTCTGTTTGTAATTCGCGAAAAATTCTGTAGCAATTCATCAGTGTTCCTTAGAATGTGGTATAAAAAAACAAATTGATATAATTCCCAGCGAATAATTTGCATTTTTCGTTAACCAAAATGTCGATGAAAATCGTGGAGAGAGTTGGGGCCGGAGGGTTAAGTACCTGCGAAATGATTAAGTACAAACTCGATGTACTTAGGAATTAATCCATCTTCAAAGTCTCATTACCTTAAGTACTTAGTACTGGAAAACAGTCTAGGTACTGAGAAGCAGAATATTTAGTATCTAATCACTTCCCAAATAGATAGCCCTTGCCTTTGCACTTAGGTGCTTCGGTGCATCCAAGTATCTGAAAGTATATATATTTTCTTAAGTGTAATAAATCCTTTGTCTTTTGAAAACCACAACGGATTTCAATAAGATATTTACTATTAATCAGTTTAGGTCTCCTGTGTGCTATAATAATTGTGCTAAGTTGTATAAAAGATGATACACCATAGAAAACTCCTTAATTTTTTGGTGATTTTGCTATGAAATAATGGAATTGTAAAAAAAATCAAATAGTTGCGGATTATTTCAACAATTCCATCAAAGCTCCCGGTTTTACAATGGAGTCTTCCTATAATTTCGGCTTTGGGGCTAATAATTATGCGTACTGAAACTCTTCCGTGAAGGGGGTGACTTGGGAATAGAGAACACACGCCGGGTGGCAGCGAAAAGTCTCCTACAGCGCGTTCAGATCGCGCAGAGGGGCACACACACTTGACACTACACATTCACGAACTCAGTGGTGGGAGAAAACAACTTCCCCTACCGAAATCACAGAGAGCATGAATGATAGGAAAACTGCTGTAAGTGTTAAATCCATTGGCAACTCAGTACTTAGATAGTTTCAAGTACCAAGTAACAAAGAGTAACAAAGTACTAAGTACTAATGCATGTACTTGATGGAGGACTGATTCTGAAGCACACGCATACTTGGTACTTTATTCAAGAATTCAAGTACTAATGTGGTTAGTGCATTATCACTGTCTGCGTATATACTACTCCAATATCGTCAAAGCCAGGCCTTTTTATGTGGACGGTCACATCCGTTCATAAGGACAATAAAAACTTTTAGAAACGAGGAACAAATTGTTATTGCTGGTTCACATTCATTGAGTCTGAGTAACTTTTAACTAGTTGTAAACGTACTACACAGGAACCTCTGTAAACAGATGGTCATCCGAATGTCCCGCATTGGTGTAAGCATTCTCTGTTTAAGTCTCCAACTCCTCACGAGTTCATTTCCCATTGATTTTTTGTCACTAGGCCCGACAAAAAATATTGTTCGACACACAGCCGTGAAGAACTTTTCCATCCCGGATGATTATAGAACTCGTTTTCGGCTCGTCCTGTAACCTCATGTTCACCTAAAAAGTTCCTCACGGCCTAGTGTCGAAATGCTCTATAATGTCACGAAGTGAAGAAATATGCTCACACCTTTGAGCTCTAAAAATTGATTTCCACAACTTATATGTTTGATCTGCGATATTGGTCGGTATGTGGAAAAGAAAATATCTCCATGACGGGTTAATTTCACCATATTGATCTACTTTCAAAGCGTAAAATCAGTAGCGAAGCGGTACAACGGTTTATGTCGACTTAGCTCTTATCTGAGTTTTCGAGAAATATCTGCGAATTTACGGGAGTTGACGAGATTTCCGTAACAACCTTTTCTGTAGAGAAAGTTGAGGGCATCAGAGCTTTCATTTGAACCCCATTTGACCCTAAGTTTCTGGATATTTTACAATGATTGTGTTATTTAAATTTTGGATTCTGACTTTTGACCTCGATATTAAAGCGCTAGGGCACATTCAACAATGAATCAATTTGTTAAAAATCGCCAGAACGACCGCTAGAGGACAAACTCAGGGTAAATAGGGAGCCACAAATTCCATCGCTAGGCGTTTGTGCCTCCCCGACGTGTATAAGAAAAAATGAAGAACGTGATTAACGGGCGAGGTAGTCTTGGTATCGTGAAGTAATATGCCGGAGGGGGGGGGGGTTTCATTTACAAAGAGGGGAGGAGGCCGAAAATGTCCCAAAAAAAGCGTAACGTAATTGTTGAATATTTCCCTTAGAAAACATTTTACAAATTTGACACAAAAAATTAGAAAGTTTACTTTCGGAGGATGATTGATGAAATAATTGGAAAAATTTAATTTTTGAAAATTAAGAGCATTTTCTGTGAATAATTTATAAACAATGAATTTCCCACCATAAAAATCGTGTTCAGGATCGTAACAAATTTCTTCATATTTCGAATTTTATTAGGCATCAATTTTATGCCTAAAAAATAAGGTTTCCGAAAATTTAAACCATTTCAATTATTTTTTTATAAACAATGAATGTTTAACAAAGTAATAATTCTGTACAAAATGTAATTTGAATGATACTGAATATTCATGATTTGTTTCAAATTTTCACTACGTAATTTAATTGAAAATTCGATGATTAAAACTGGTTGAATGTATAGTGTGGTCTGGACCAAACTGTGAAAGATACTTGGATATCCTTAAGGATATCGACCCCCTCCACGGGGTTCCCACTTTGTCGTTAGTGAGGGGGCTCGGTCGCGGGCGGTGGGGGTCTTAAGGACTATCGCCGTCCGCGGTTGCTAAGAGGAACCCACCCAATCCATGTGTGTGAGCGGCGTAAGCCATGGCCTCGGCCATACCGTGCCTAAGGATGCGTGGCACAGGGGGAGCTGTGTCGCTAACGGTGCCTCTCAGAAACCTGGGCGACCTCTGAGAGTAGTCTTGGGTGTAACCCACCCGAGACAAGC